AACGGAAACTGGAAATAAACCACGACGACAGACGACAACGCTTCATTTCTTGCTACATGTGCACAAGCAAATGTTCGTTCGTTTCGTGTAAATAAGCCGAAACCTCTGCGAAGTCGCCCTACCTCCCGCCTCCCGCCTGTCCGCTAATGTGATGGTCATTCGCCTGTTCAATCGTCAACATACGTTGTCGTGTGACCACTGACCAGTCGTAGTGACCAGTGACGCGAATGGCCGGCGTGGTTAACAACGATGAACGCGTTTTCGACCGCCTAAGCTCCCGTTCACCGGATGCACGGACCACAGCCGCTGACGAACGACTCCGAGACCTAGTTCCAGATAGTCGAGAAGGTCGATGCACCTGTCGTCGCCTGCTCTTTTGGTTCGTCATCCAACTTATGTCCTCAAGTAAGTACGGTCTACTGCGACATCTGATGTGTCCCTCACGACTTGCACTTCTTCCACAAGGGAAGGGGGCTCTATAAGGTCGTCGCGAGGCAAAGCTAGACTCAACCAGGCCAATTGCCGCCGTCTGCTAGGGGCTGCATAGTTTCGCTGGTGGATATAATTTGCCATTAATCCGGCGACGACGTCCATTAAAAAATGCGACAGTTTGCGTAATACGCTTTAAAGGAAACGCACATTTGTCTGATTGACACCAAACACGGTAATGACTCAATCTGTCGGAATAAGGTGTCATTCTTAGTTGAGTTCGTGATAAATTAGCGTGACCGGCTTGCCTCAGTTTTCGTCAAAGCTCGCACTAAATAGATTATACATAATCGGTTGCATCTAATGACTGCGCGTCGTCGTTGTCCTTCGCGGTCTATTACGAGGGGCGTCCCAATTTGGGTCGGATATGCCGCATACACGGCTAACTGACCACTGACCATTAGGATTAATTCCAAAGGCGGCTCTAACGCAACGGCTGCGAGTTGCGGACTTTCTTTGAACTTCGTCAGCACGAGGCCACATCATCTTGATGATGAAATCGATCATGGTGCTCACCGGAGACTAGCGTTGATTGGCTGTGCAAAGGCGGCATTGTTGCATCTAGTTTTCGAACGGAAGCAGACTCTTTCCTCGTAGAAGTAATGTTGATGGCTTAAAATGGTTCATTGCAATATCAAGTCTTCACACCCTTCTATGAAGTTAGCTTTAAACAAGCAGTGGTATGGCTCGATTATGCAGATGCTGAGCATCACCGTGTCTTGAGGCATACCAAAAAGGGACGGAGTTGGAAATGTGGCGGAACAGTAGCTCAGAGGTCGCCTTTGAACTTCGAACCGAACGTGCAGAGTTCGAATCCGCTCAAGACACGGTCTTGGTCTTAACTGCGAATTCCATTGAGCAAGAAATTAAGTCCATGTTGCTTCGGAGCAACCGGCTAAGAAACGGGCAGTAAGTGGGTACCTTGCCAAAAATTGGAACAGTACAGTATTCTTGTCTGGTCATGCCAAAATGAACTAGGTGTTCAGCCATGCTGTCTGATGGTAGCACGTTTGTGACTGCACTTTGCCTTCATCCACTTGATAACTCATTATCCAATTTGATGATCAGCGCAAGGTTTAACCTGAATTTCGATTTCGACCATGGAGCTTGTACATTTGACCTGGATTGTAGTCATCGGTTAGGCCTCCTGAAACAGCTGCCCCAGAGCTCAAGCGGAATAGCAGGTCCTAAGAGTGAATGAATGACAATCAGAGTGAGTGAAGAATAAAATTTTGATTTGGATTAATCTGATCGAGCTGACCGCAATAACCTTGAGGGTAAGCACTAACCTCAGATGGGCATTTTCTGAGAAAAACCAAATTTTCACGTCCTGATGCAGAAACCAATTATCTATTCAAATCGCTTCGCTTCATATGATTTTTTGACATTTTCCCATGCAATCATTTCATAGCAGTGCAGTACTGGAGAAAGTTAAAGAATTTCCTCCTGTCATTGACAGTACAAAGAAAAAGTTTTCTCAACGTTACGTCCGTTATAACGCCAATTAGTAAATGGCAATAAATCGCAAAATATCTCTGCTACTTCTCTCATTATTTTGTAAGGAAAAACAAAATCCAAGTTTCAAAACTCATCATAACTTTTTCCATATGCAAGCTGTACTATTCCTTAAGATTTAAGCGTCTTCTATGAAGCATTTTCACGTTAGCATGAAATCGTTTCGACTGTCATTAACTGAAGGCTGTATTCTGTCCTGATCAGGGATCGTCAGACTTCGTTTGAAGACTAGGATGGTGTAAGCGCTGCTGGAGTAATTTTTGAGGGCTCAACCTTTCTGTACAAATAACGATAAACTTAAGGCGACTTCGTTTTAAAGTGAACTTTTCGACACTGCCATGTGAAATCACCCTGGCAGCTATGTCGATGAATACGGACATTCAATATGTCATGAAGCTTGTCCAGTTGATCAGATTGCCTGTAAGACTAGCCAAAGCTCGAAGTTCAAAATTAAAACACGGTCATTTAACTACTAAATGTCTATTAATTACATTAAACTGTTGAACATTAATTTGTTTACTTTTGGAAATGAGGTATGTTTCCTCATCAAGACTCACAGGCTGATTAAACAGGCATTTCCAAAGACATTTAAATATCTTCGTTTGATGAATCTTCATCGTCATGATGTCATGACGTCATGTCGGTCATGACGACTCTAACGTGATCAAACATGCCTTGTTGGTTACCGTCCTCGGGTCAGCAAGAGAAAATATTTACGCACCGGAAAATTAATGGCAGCGAAGCTCGAATTGTCGCGCCTCCACAGTTATGGAGATCTCTTTCGGAGGTTTCGCCGAGGAACGTTGTTTGAACAATTTTCAGGCGCACGACGGGGAACCGCCACTTTGGCTAAACAAAAGCTTAAACAAACATTTGTTTCTTTCTTGAAGTGCCGGGAATGGCGACACTGATTTGTGATGGACGGCTGCATCGAAA